CTACACCTTGTTATCTCAACTTTTGAAAGTTCTTGCCTAATACTGCCAAAATTTGGCCTTGCGTTAATTTAGAGCTATAACTTTTGGGTCAGATTTACCCTTTACCATAACAATCTTAAAACTATTAGAATTATGATCACAGACCCCAACCTACTCCCCCACTGACAGCTCAGTCACTGGTGATACCTTATTTCCCAACAGAATTTGCCCTGATTTATTTCCCAACAGAAGGTCAAGTTTTGCTCCTTCTCTCTCTAGTAGGTTCATCGCATACTGAATAAGAAAATTTTTGTTGTAAGCACTTAACAAATTCCTCTCCATCCAAGCCCTTAACTCTATGTTTGGAAAGCTAAAGTACCTTACCATAACTATCCTATTATTCTTACAGGTATTTGAAATCTACTTGGGAAATTGATCCTTAATTTCCTGCTCAGTAGTGGGGGGACCTATAATACAATCCCAATAAGGTGATCATCCCTTCCTTTATTGGCTTTTTTAATTGTCACATGTACCAATATACAGTGAAGAGCTTTGAGTGGTACAAGCAGATTACAGCAAGCAAAGGATGTACGGATCAAAAAGACTTGGAGGCGTGTAGGTTACATTATTTGAGGCTAGAGTCCAGTCATCAGTCTGATAACGGCTGGAAAGAAGCCCTTTCTGAACCTGCTTGTGCATGTGTTCAGGCTTCTGTATCCTCTGTCTGATGGAAGAGGTTGTAGGAGGTCGTTACCAGGGTCCAAGGTGTCTTTGTTGGCTGCCTTTCTGTGCCAGTGAGCCATGTCAATGAAGTCCATGGATGGAAGGCTGGCTTTCGTGATGGTCTGGGCTGTGCACCACCTACTGTAGTTTCTTATGTTCCTGGGCGGAACAGTTGCCGTACCAGGCTGTTATGTACCTGGACAGTATACTTTCTATGGTGCATCTGTAGAAATTGGTGAGGGACCTTTTTATAGGCACACCAAATTTCCTGAGTCACCTGAGGAAGTTGTTGTGCCTTCTGACCAGCGCATCTACTTGGGAAGCACGGGACAGCTCGTTGCTTATTATCACACCGAGGAACTTGATGCTCGTCACTATCTCAACCTCTGTTCTGTCGATGTAGCTGGGGGCCATGTTCTCCTCCTTTCTTTCTGAAGTCGATGATCAGTTCTTTAGTTTTGCTAACATTAAGAGACAGATTGTTATCATTGCACTACATCACCAAGCCCTCTATCTCCCTTCTGTATTTTGACTTGTGATTGTTAGATAACAGTGGTGTTATCAGCAAACTTGTAGATGGCATTCATTTGGAATTTGGCAACACAGCCATAGGTGTACAGGGAGTACAGTAGGGAGCTGAGGATACATTCTTATTTCTCAGTATATCCGGTGAAGTTATGAAGGATATTCACATAGTTCCATCCAAATAAGTACAGCTGTAATGTTATCCCTAAGCAAAAACGCTACTCCCACTCCTCTCACTTCCCCCTCCCCCTTCCTACTTCTGCCCTTCCTACTTCATCTATACCCTGGAACATTAAGCTGCTAGTCCAGCTGTTCCCTGAGCCATGTCTCTGTAATAGTTATGATATCCCAGTCCCATGTGCCCAATCATGCCCGGAGTTCATCTGCCTTGCCTGACAGGCCTGTTGCATTGAAATAAGATTGATACATTAAACTGCGTTTATCTTATTTCATTCTCTCCCTTGTTCTTGTGTGCCTTGACTTTTTGACTTGTTCCACTTCTCAACTGTACCAGCCTTTAGACTTATCTCTCTTACTATCTCTTTGGGATCCTCGACCCTGCCATCGCTTCTTACTAGCTTAAA